ACACACACACACACACACGACGATACACACACACACACACACACACACACACACACAGACACAGACACACACACACAGTCATACCGGTGTCTGCGTTCTGCATTGTCTGGGCGGCGATCGACAAAAGCGCCGAGAGCTACGCGGAGTTTCGCTTTACCGCTGGATCTGAACCGCAAGGCGGTGGCGATGGTGATGGTGGTGATAATGATGATGGTGTTGGTGGTGGTGAGGAATGCAGTGGTTTGAAGGAAATGTCAGCACAAGTGGGAGAGACAGGCAAGCATGGCAAGTAAGTGGACACGCAGAGAGATACCAAACACTGGTAGCTCCACACTGCTGACCAGCAGCAAGCACACTCACACACACACATGGACACAGGCGTTCACACACACACACACACACACACACATGGACACCCACACACACACACACACGCACATGGACACAGACGTTCACACGCACAAGCACACAGACAGACAGACATACATACATACAGACGAGCGCATATTGCTGCTCTCACTTGCAGGCTGGAAATGAGACATCTGCTTCGGGAAAGACCCAGTCAATGTGCCAACGAATCGTTCGTTTGCTGGAACATTGCACGTTGAGATGTGAGCAGCAACGACTTGTGTATGCGTGTGTGTGTGTGTGCATGAGACACAGGCACGCCGCAGCCATACAGCCACACACACACCACACACACACACACACACACACACACCCACACACACCCACACACACACCCACATACGCGCACACATACACACTCGTACCGGAAGTCAAAGGAGGTTGTGTTTTCGGAGTGCCGGCTGAACATGGCGGGCATGAGGCGCAGGTCAATACCGCGTGCCTGCGCTTCCTTGATGATGCGTGGCTTCTTCTGCACCATTGTGCAGCGGCACATGACCAGAGAGGGGCCGTGTTTATGTACGTGTGCATGTGAGAGTGGTGCCAGTGTGTCTTGTGTGCCAGTGTGTGTGTGTGTGTATGTGTGTGTTTTGTGTGTATGTGTGTGTATGTGTGTATGTGTGTATGTGTGTGTGAATGTGGTGATGCAGGCTCATGGAATGACAAACATATTCAGCCTTGCAACGGAGGCAGGTGACGTGCACGCGCTTACGTAGTGCCTCGCGTGCGCGTCGCGTGAATGAGGACCGCGCTTCGCAGATCCCACCAGTCGATGCGCCTCTTCCAACAGTCGAAAATCTATCACGCACGTTATGCATGTGCGCGTGGATGTGGGCAAACGCAAGACGCAATAAAGTTGAGCGTGCGCATGTGTGTGCGCGCGCGTGCGTGTGTGTGTCGCCTTCTTTGAATGGCTTGATTGACCTGAATAGTTGAGGGTTTGCTTGCCCTCCCACAACTATCAACACAGATACTCACGCACACGCACATATGCACAGACACACACGCAGGAACACACACACATATATGTCAAGTGCAACTCGACAAGTAGCAAGTGGCAGGTCATGAATCTGCGTCAAACCTTGGAAAAGAACGTCCTGGGTGAGGTTGTCGCGGGCTTTGACAGGTTGTGAGCGAGCGCGCACACCTGTGCACCCTGTTTCCTTCTTGTGCGCCTTCACGCACGGCAGCGAGCACGACAGTGTACCGCAGGCCGGGCATCTGTACTTCCACGCCGCACCACACATCGCACACACAGTTGTAGTTGCAGTGGTTGGGGTCTCGTCATCATCATCTTCATCATCACCATCATCATCATCATCATCTTCATCATCATCATCACCATCATCATCATCATCATCATCACCATCCTCATCATCACCATCATCACCATCATCATCATCATCATCATCATCAATATTATCCTCCTCCTCCTCGCCGACAACGTCTTGTGGGTCTTTTTTCACGTTTTCTGCTTCTTCAGCGTTCACCGTGTCCACAACAGCCTTGTTCCTCCCTTCCTCTTCATCGCCGCTGTGCTTCATCTCCACCTCTGCTGTTCCAGTGCCACGATCGCCAACCTTGTCCGCCATCGCACAACAACAACCAAACACACGTGCAACACACAAACAAACACACAACAACAAAAAAACTCCCAGGCGTGCGTTGTCACTACGTTTTGTCGTGTTCTTTGAGAGCAAAACGCCACCAACGGCTTTGCTTGCGTCGCGATGCACCAGCCTGACGAATTTCACTCATACCAACGTGCCGTTTCACGAACATCTTCGCATAAACATCGGATCAATGTTCGCTTCAGTCATGGTTGGGACAATCGCTGTGTTGCTTGCGCTTTCGCACAAGCGCAGCAGCAACGCACGACCACCCGCACCTCCCCCCTAACATTCCTCTCCGCGACCAACGGCGCGTTGTGCGTTGTGCGTTGCTTTTGTTGCTTGTCGTCGTCGTTGTCGCGGGTGCGCCATCTCCTCTGTCAAATCACACATTCATCCATCCACCCACGAAGAGCGCGCAACAAGCAAGAGGAGAGAGAACTACAAGCAAGAACGACGCGGGCGATTTGAACACAAACACACACATTCACACACACACACACACCCCCAGCTCAGCGGCCGTGCCTTGCATTGACCATCCACTCGTACACGTCGCGTGGAGTTGAACGAATGAAGGGACTTGCCCTCGTGCGCGACTGTTTTGTTTCGGTAGGCGCTTAACAACTGCGCGTGGCGTGGGTGCGAACAAACAAAACTCTGCACCTCTGTTCGGTTTGCATGCTGATGTTGATCTTGATGTCCGCTTGTGTCCGGTTGTGCTGCCCACTTGCTTATTTGTGTGTGCGCCTGCGTGTACTACCCATTCTGTGCTGTTGCTGTTGCTGTACTGCTGTTGCTTTGCTTGAAGACACAACCGCAACCCCATCACCACCAAAACCACCACCACGCATACCCACTCCCACGGCGTACCTCCTTGCCTGTTTTGGTTCTGGTGTAGGCTCACATCACGTTTTGCCACTTGCTGCTGCTGGTCTGTCCTGACTATTGTGCTTGCGGTGTGATTGCTTTGCTTCTTCCACCAGACGTCTTCAGCGTTCAGCCACCGCGCTGTGACTCTGTGTATTTGTGCGTGTGTGCAAACCACCAGCCATTGGCGTCAGCATGGAGAAGTACGAGCGTGTGAGAACGCTCGGTGCCGGGTCCTTCGGCAAGGCCTTTCTCGTTCGCAACAAGGACACACGCCAGCTATGTGTGATGAAGGTCAGCGTGTGTGCGTGTGTTTGCTTGTGTGTTTGCTTGTGTGTTTGCTTGCGTGTGTGTGTGTGTGTGTGTGCGTGTGCGTGTGTGCGTGTGTGCGTGTGTGCGTGTGTGCGTGTGTGCGTGAGTATGTGTGTGTGCGTGTTGCGTGTGCGTGTGCGTGTGCGTGTGTGCGTGTGTGCGTGTGTGCGTGAGTATGTGTGTGTGTGTGTGCGTGTGTGCGTGAGTGTTGCGTGCGTGTGCGTGCGTGTGTCTCTCTGTGTGGATGTGCTTGTCGGTTTGTGTGCGTCCAAGGTTCGCCTCTTGCGCCCGCCGGTGTGAGTGTGTGCTCGTCCACATTACTGGTTGTTCACGCAACATCGTGTGTCCAGCGTAAAACGAGTTTTGCCCGTGTCCTGTTCTCACAACCCGCCTGTCTTGTTTGCTTCATGGGCGCCATGCGTCTTGCTTCTCGTCTCAGGAAATGAAATGCAAGACCAAGGCAGACTTGGAAGAAGCCATCAAGGAGTCAAAGTTCCACGCCAGCGTCTCCCACCGCAACATCATCCAGTGCGTGTTTAATTCATCCCACGCACAAACCGGATGCACTGACCGAAACAAAACCTGAGATGGCGGAACAACGCCATCACAGTGCACACAGATACAGACAGACAGACAGACACACACACACACACACACAGAGATACACAGACAGACACACAGATACACACACACACAGATACACACACACACACACACGCAAACTCGCAAACTCGCAAACTCACAAACACACACCCACTCGGCTGCAGGTACTTTGACGTGTTCCAGGAAGGTTCACGGACCGTGTTCATCGTGATGGAGTATGGACAGGGCGGTGACCTCCAGGCGCAAATCAAACGCAAACGCATGGCGCGACAACGGTTTCCAGAAGCAACCATCGTCAAATGGCTCGTACAGGCATGCATGGCCCTGCAGTACCTCCACCAGCAGGGCAAGCTGCACAGGTGCGTCCTTGCTTGAACGTGTGCGCGGCTTTGTATTTTTTTTTTTTGTGTGTGTGTGTGTGTGTGTGTGTGTGTGTGTGTGTGTTGTGTGTGCGTGCGTGCGTGCGTGCGTGCGTGTGTGTGTCTGTGTGTGTGTGTGTGCGTGCGTGTGTGCGTGTGTGTGCGTATGTGATTGTGTATGTGTTTGTATACGTGTTCCTTCGTATGTGCGTGTGTATCTACATGTACATGCATGATTGCGACGCAGCTTTGTGTTCACCTGTGACACGTCTCGCTGATCGTCACTTCCATTTGTTTGCTTCACCTTGCTCCGCCTCGCCGGCATGTGTACACCTCCACCAACTCCACCCTCACCCTTCTTCCTCCACCCCCTTGTCTCTGTATTCACTGCTTTCCGCAGAGACATCAAGGCTGGTAACCTATTTCTCGATGCGAAAGGCAACATCAAACTGGGCGACTTTGGGATTGCGCGCGTGCTGGAAGCAAACGCCGCACGCATGTCTGCACGCACGTGCAAGACACCAGTCGGTGCGTTGCTTCGTATGTGCATATGTGTGTGTGTGTAGGTGTGTGTGTGTGTGTCTGCCGTTCTGACCATGCTGGTGGCGTTGCTCTTGCTCGTTGGTGCTTGTTGGCTGTTTGTTTGAACATGTTCCGACCAACATCACGACCCATGCTGTCAGACGTCTTTGGTACACAACCTGAACTTCCTTCTTTCTCCAGCTCACACAAGCCACAACACACACACACACACACACACACACACACACACACACACACACACACACACACACACACACTTCTCTGTCTTGGCTGACCACGGCGTGTTGCAGGCACGCCGCTGACGATGGCGCCCGAGATTGCGGCGGGAAAAGCGTACGGGCAGAAAGTTGACATCTGGGGCATTGGCTGCGTGCTGTATGAGCTGATACAACTCAAGCCCGCCTTCTTCGCGCAGTCGCTTGACGGCCTCCTCTCGCGCATCCGCCGCGGGAAGTACGACACGCGCTACCCCGACCACGTGAGCAAGGACCTGCAGCAGCTGATTGCGATGATGCTGCGCGTCGACCCGAACAAACGGCCCAGCGCCGCCCGCATCCTCGCCCACCCGTTCCTCGCCGCACAGGTGGCCGCAGAGAGCATGGACGCACACAACGCGCCCGCCGACGCACAGCAGCAAGCATCGCACCAAGCATCGCACCAAGCATCGCACCAAGCATCGCACCAACAACCACATCACCACCACCAACAACCATACCCACAACATTCGCAACCACCGCAGCAGCAGCAGCAGCAGCAGCAGCAGGTGGCGTCACATGGCGCGTCGCCGGCTACGGCGCGGCGGCAGAGCGAACCCAACCATGACGTCATGGGGCTGCGGCCCTTGAAATTGCGAGGCATGCCACGCCGCGCCCTCCAACAACAACAGCAGCAGCAGCAACGGCACCAGAGCCGAAGGGACGACAGCAGCAGCCCCGTTGAGCTGCATGACGACGACGGCGCTGTTGCTTTGGGCGCCCTCGGTGGCGGTGGCATGCGGCGACGAAGCAAAGCAGGCGGTCACCCCGGTGGTCGGCCTGTCGACCGGCGCACAAGCTGGGACGCGCTCGATCCACACCCGCAGCAGCATCGTGCCGGCGGTGATGGCGGTGAGCAACAGCAGCGGCACCGCGATCATCGTTACCGCCACCAGCACCCACAGGGCCGCCGCAGCCGCAGCAATCACCGCAGCCGCAGCAACCAGCACTATGCAAAGCAGAGCCCCGTCGCATACCGCCAACACCGCGATGACGGTGATGTTGATGGTGCGGACCGTAGCACGCACGACGACGACGACGACGACGACGATTATGATGATTACGGCAGCGTCACCCGTGCTGCTGCTGCTGGTGGTGGTGGTGACGATACGCGCGATCGACATGAACGGCCACGCAGACGGCGACAGGCGGTCCGGTTCAGGGACGCGTCGAACGACACGGGCAACAATAGCGACACGGACGCGTGCGCCGGGGATGACGCGACGGATGCGACGGAGGATGATGAGGTGGATGGCAACTATGGCGACGAGGACAACAGCAACGCCGAGAACGACGACAGCAACGGCCACCGCAGGCGCCACAGGCAGCAGCGGCCCGGGCACCGGTATCACCAGCACGTGCCAACGCGGGAGGCGCGCGAACACATGCGTGCACAGCTCAAGTCCAAATCCGAGGTGTCTGTGAGCCCGCGCGTGTACAGCAACTGCGGCAGTGAGGCTGGCGATGATCTCATGCACGTGTCCCCGGATGGCGTTGGGGGCGGCCACCACCAGCACCACCACCACCTCAACAACAACAACAACAACAGCCCCGGCCAGGGCGGCAGGCGGCACAGCCTCATGCCTGGCGCCGAGTTCTCGCGGCCACCGCGTCCGTGCAGTGCTGATCGCGTCCGTTGCGGCGGCGGGTATGTCGGGCTAAACGGCGGCAGGCGTCGCAGCAGCCTGATGCCACCACCGCCACCACACGCCAATGGCAGCAACAGCAGTGGCCAATGTGGAGGCGGCGGCAAGAACGGCCGGCGGCGCTCCAACTCGCGCAAGGTGTCCGATTTCCTGGAACTGCAACGCAGGTTTTCGGAGGTGCGGCCCGAAATGCCCATGGCGCTGAGCAAGGAGCAGATGCAGATGCACGTGCAGGCGCAGCGCGATCGCCAGCCCCTGCGTAGCGGGGGCACTGGTGAAGGCGACGGTGTCCGTGGTGGCGGTGTTGCATTGCCACATGCCAATCCAAGCGGCCATCATCACCAGCGCCATGTCCGACAGCGCTCGAACGGCCGCCAGTCCCCGCCGCAGCACGGCGCAGCCACCAACAGCAGCAGCAGCAGCAGCAACGCTGCGAACGGCAGCAGCAATGCAGATGTCGGAGGTGTCGGTGTTGGCGGCGGGCGTGTGGGCAGTGGCGTGTCGCCGCATGCGCGGGGACGGCGGTCTGAGCCGGACTTTCGACGCATGCACCGAGGGCGTCCAGGGCACAACGGCAAGAACAAGTCGCTGTTTGAGCTCGCCCAGTACTATCAAGCCGCAAAGCTGTCGTGATGCATTTCATGCAGTGTGATCATGATGCTGCTTGTCATGGCGGTGCACACGTGAGGGTGACTCACGTGCCGTGATGGCGGTTGCTTGTGGACTTGGTGTCTCGGACACACGCCCAACGCTCTGTCTCGTTGGTCTTTCCTGCTTCTCTCTTTTTCATCTTGCCTTTGCTTCCCCTCTTTGCTTCCCCTCTTTGCTGTCTTCTTTGCTGTCTTCTTTGCCTTTCCTTCCCCTTCTTTACCTTCTTCTCTGTTTGCTCCGACCTTCTTTTATTTCGTTGCCTTGTACTGATGCTGTGACGCGTCACGTCACAGCACACGCTTTGCTCCTAGGATGCTGTTTCATACATACATACGCGCTTGTAACTGTCAATTGCTGCTGTTGATGCTGTCACGATGGTTTCGTTTTGTACTCACTTAACTGAGCCTTTCCTCCCTTGGTACGTGGACAATGCAACACCCGTTCTGGTTTTGGTTGCACACACACACACACACACACACACACACACACACACACACACACACACACACACACACACACACACACACACACACACACTTTGTTGTTGTTAATTTGTTGAGCGCTATTGTTGGGCGTAGGTGCGCCCTACTTGCCTCGTTACATCGTGCACATCAGCACATACTGCGATGGGTAGCCATCGCCTGTTCGCTCGTTCGCTTGCTCGCCATTGGGTAAAACAACAACACACATGAAATGAAGGGGCGAAAGAGTGCATGCGTGCGCGCGTGTGTGTTGAGAAAGACGTCATCACTAGCTCGGCTGTTGTGCCAGTTCCAGAGTTGGCGGCGTTCATGGGTCGTGGCCGTGTTTCGTCATTTACCGTTCACAGATGATCAATCAATGCATTGGTTAAAAGGAAGCAAACCACCTTTCTGTCACACACCAGTACAGCTGATTTAACGCTCACAATCAGCACGACAAGCTCACGCCTCCATCCACGCCTCCCCCTCCTAATCACCATCACCACCGCCACCGCCACCGCCATGGACAGTGTGCTCCTCGCGCTGCGGCCGCGGTGTCGTCATCGGTGTTGCGGACACGGACTCCCGGTGCAGCAGCGTGTACGCTATCGTCGTGGTGGTGGTGGTGGTTGTGGTGGTTGTGGAGATGTTCGTGTGGGAGCAGGACATGTTGGTGGGTGCAACAATGGGTCAACAGTCACGTCAACATAAGCCATGCCATGAATGAGAAGGTGAAGGTGGACTCCACACAGCACAACGTGCACAGTGCCGCCACGCTTATCAAACAACCATGCATAAGCCACGTGCAGCACCGGCACCTCAGCAAGCACGCAAGCAAACACGCATTCACGACACCTTCGTCCATGAGGTCTGTTGCTTCGCGCGCAACGAGCGTCTGCGCGGCCTGAATCAGATTCTCGGCCTGCTTCGTCGACATGAATTCGATGCTGGACACCAGGTCGCCAGGCTTGGCGCGCGCAAGCTGCTTGTGGCTGCAAGTGTGTGTGTGTGTGTGTGTGTGTGTGTGTGTGAGAGAGAGAGAGAGTGCGTGTGTGTGTGTGTGTGTGAGAGAGAGAGAGAGTGCGTGTGTGTGTATGTGTGTTATTATGTGTGTGTGTGTATGTGAGCGTGTATGTATGCGTGTTGCAGTAGTCAGTGCAAGTGTGTAGTTTTACAAACACAGCCGACAGACGTACAGACGCGCGTCACACCCTCCCTTGCTCTACCCTGCTCTCCCTCACAAACAGCTATGCCTCACCTCTTGAAGCCTGCGTCTGCGAGCATGCGGGCACGTTGCGCCTTCATGCCAGGAATGTCCATGAGATCAACTGCTTGCAGCGGCAGATGCACCCAAGTCGAAAGAGGCGATGAGCAATCGTGCCAACACACACACACACACACACACACACACACACACACACACACACACACACACACACACACACACACACACACACACACACTTGCAGCCACAAGCAGCACGAAGCACGAACCGATGTCGTGTTGGACGCCAAAGTAGAGGCGCTTGATCATCCCGCTCGCCAAATGCTCAATGGTCCAATACGCCTGTATGACAGCAATACAGCAACATTAATCATGCGTCAAGGAACACAGTCACCCTTTCCCGTTCTCACAAACCTGCATGAAACCGACGTGAAACAACCACAGATGCAGCGCTTCCCCCAACACACACACACACACAGATATGCACAGATACAGATCCAGACACACACACAGACACAGACACAGAGATACAGACACACAGATACAGACACAGATACACAGATACAGATACAGATCCAGACACACACACACACATACACACACACACACACACACACTAAGATAGCAGCGCACTGCACGGCCTCACCGGGAGCTCCTTGCAGAAGGAGGCGACGCTCGCTGCGTACACGGCTGCGTTCTGCAGCAGCGTCTGCACGAGGCCGGCATCAACACCATATTTCGCAGCGGCGCGGTAGATGGACGCGTTGCGGTGCATCACCGTCCACAGGATGAGCGTCAGGTACACCCGCCGCAGCCGGCCCGTGGGCGACTTGAAGTACGTTGCCCAGTTGTTGTGCGACGGCGCAGAGGGCAGCCGCCCCGCCACCGCCCGCGACAGCACATTTTCCGAGGCGCCAAGGCGCTCCATGGCAGCCTGGTCGTCGGGGGACATGCTGGCAAAGTCGTCCAGCATGGTGTGGAACTGCGGCGAGATGTGCTGCACGTGCTCAAAGGGCGTGACCAGGCCAAGCAGGTGCAGCTCCGTCTTCAGCACCGCCGCCCGCATAAACTCGTCCACGTCCGCGCACACCAGGCCCACCGTGTCGCAGGGAAACCCAGAGGCGTTGATGCCGCAGCCGAGCGGCGTGGCCTGGATCACGCGCCCGCGCACGGCAATCAGACGCAGGTTGGCCAGGTACTCAAGCGCAGCGTCAATGACCACGGGAACCTGCTCTTTATTCTGCACAGCAAGCAGCGTCTTGTTGAAGAAGGCCTCCACCTCGCCCATGCCCAGCGGCGACGACCCGCACACCAGCGACAAAATGAGCCGGCGGCTCAGGTCCTGCTGCGAGGCAAGCTGGCTCTCGCACCGCTCGCACGCCCCCGCCACAATATCCAGTGCCCGCTTGATGTTCACCTTGTCCAGGCACAGGTACGCCTCGCCCGTCTCCGTCAGCCCCACGCGCCCGGCGCGACCAGACATCTGCAGGTACTGGCTGCGCGTCAGCAGCTTGTTGCCCATGTACGGCGTGCGCACAATCACGCGGTGCGCAGGGAGGTTCACCCCCGCAGCCAGCGTGGACGTGGCGATCAGCAGGAAGATGCACCCCTCCTTGTAGGCGCGCTCCACAAGCTCGCGCACGTCCTTGGTGAGCCCGCCGTGGTGGTAGGCCACACCGCGGCGCATCAGCTGCACCAGATACGAGCCGCCGCTCGTCGCCATCTCCCGCGTGATGGCGCGCGCAATGCCGTCAAACACCTTCTCGCGCGCGGCGTCCAGCTGCGTCGGCGGCGTGGTGCGGGCGTAGCTGCGTGCAAGGTTCTCGCACGCCCGCCGCGAGGAGTTGAACACGAGGCACGGCCGGTCCGGGACAGACTCGCGCATGAGCGCAATCACATCCTGCACGTCGTTCCCGCGGCCACTGCGCCGCCGCACCTGTGACTGCGATTGCTGCGATGGTGGCTGCTGTGACGGGTGCTGTGATGGGTGATGATGCTGCTGGTGCTGCTGGGAGTACCCGTTGCCATCGCCGTGGTTGTGAGGCGTGCGCGGCAGTGCTCTTGCTGATGGCGGTGTGAAGAGCGGTGATTGCGATGGAACGCCACCACGTCCACCACCGGCACCGTATCTCGCTGTTGGCGTCGCTGGAGAGGCCTGCCCTGGCTGCTGCTGCTGCTGTTGTTGTTGTTGCTGCTGCTGCTGTTTCTGCTGCTGCCGGGTGTACACGTCAGAGGCGGAGCGAAAGTTGACCTGTGATGGCGGAGGCTGGGGCTGAGAAGCCATCGGTGTCCCCTGCCGCGTGTGCTGCTGCGTGTGCTGCTGCTGCTGCTGCTGCTGCTGCTGGTGATGGTGATGATGATGAGGGGACTGTGAAGGCCCTGGTTGGAGCGGGCTGTTGTCGAGCGAGCGAACAAAGTTGGTGGTCATCAGGTCTTCACAGAGCTCCTCGCGCTGCGCAATACCCGTGATGTCGTACACGCGGCCCTCAAACAGCACGTGCTCGCGCAAGGTGACGGGCCGCTGCGTGCTGGACACGTGGCGCGCGCGCAGGAAGGTTGCCAGCTCGCCCGTGTTGCCCACCGTCGCTGTCATGGCCACAATGCGGATGGTGCGCGGGGCGTGGTGCAGCACCAGCGTGAGGATCGTCTCCAGTACGCCACCGCGCGACCCGTATCCGAGCATGTGCGCCTCGTCGACAATGCACAGGCCCAGGCGGCCCAGTCGCCGGTTGGCAATGAGCGAGCACAGCAGCGAGTGCGCCTTCTCAATGGTGGCCACGAACAGCGTGCGCTGCCCGTCGCGTCGCTGCAGCGGCGGCACGCGGCCAAGGTGGCCCGCGTACGTCTCCAGGTGAAAGCCAATCTGCTCCGCCAGCGGCTCCAGCGCCGCCACCTTCTCCTGCACAATTGCCACGTACGGCAGCACCAGGATGGCGTCCTTCTGCTGCAGCAGCATCGTCTTCAGCGCCAGCACCTCCGCCACCAGCGTCTTGCCCCCGCTCGTCGGCAGGGTGAGCAGCAGGTTTGGCCGGTGCGAGTCGTAGTGCTGCGCTGCTTGCACGCTCTCCCGCTGGCAAGGGTACAGGTTCTTCACGCCGCGCGACACGTAGAACTGCGCCACAATGGGCGGCAAATCTGCCAGCAGCGGGTCGTGCTGCAGGGGTGGGGTGCCGTGCTCGTCGACAGGGCGCCAGCCACCGCCTGCTGTGGATGTGCTTGCTTCCCCATCAAAATACGCCAGCGTATCGTCGTCCAACAAGTCCACCATGTCATCGTCGTCATCAGCATCGCCACCGTTGTTGTTGTGGTTGCCATTGGCGGCAACTGCACCATGTGCGCTGGTTGCTCCGTGCTGTCCGTGGTCAGCGTCAGTGTCCACTTGTCGCCGGCCATTGCGCCGCCTTTGTTGACTTGGTGTGATGTGCTCCTCATCGTGCGCGCCATGCAAGTTGTTGTCATCATCCCCGTCGTCGACGCCGTCGTCATCTTCGGACGCGTTGCTGGCCGCGTTTGCTTCCTGCTGTGCCTCGTCTGCTGCCAGTGACAGCATGATATCGTCCACCTCCGCTTGCAGCGCCTCCTCGCTGTCTGTCGTGTGGGTGGAACTTGCAGCAACGCTAGCCACACTGTGGCTTGATGCTCCCGGCATCACATGTGCTCGCTTCGTGGCAGGGCCAGCGCCACCACGAGCCGATGCCCTCGTCATCATCGCGCCCGACATGGTGGTCCTGTGTGTGCTTGTGTTGTGTTTGAACGCGTTTGCGCCAGTTCCGAGTTCGCAACTGTTCGCGACATCAAAAAAAAAAGCAAGTTCCTGTTGTTTGTGTGTGTGTGTGTGTGTGTGTGTGTGTGTGTGTGTGTGTGTGTGTGTGTGTGTGTGTGTGTGTGTGTGTGTGTGTGTGTGTGTGTGTGTGTGTGTGTGTGTGTGTGTGTGTGTGTGTGTGTGTGTGTTTGCCTCATCTGTTCTTGCATGCTTGTTGCATGCTTGTTGCACTAAAGTTCAAGCACGGCTGTTTTCACTTACAACCAAATTGACAAACAAGCAACGCCTCACACACACACAAACATGATCAGCCCAGACTGCAAGCACAAGAACGCCACACAGCGCACAAAGACTACCTGCAAACAGCAAAGACACGCGCCATCACACACGAACAAGCACACGCACATACACACAAACACGAAGCAATACGCAAGAAGATCATTCACATGCACAAGTACTTGTGTTTGCTATTCGAAGAACGTAGGTGGTCACCCTTTGCCGATGCTGCTACCACCACCACAGCTGCTGTTTGTGTGTGTGTGTGTGTGTGTGTGTGTGTGTGTGTGTGTGTGTGTGTGTGTGTGTGTGTGTGTGCGTGCGTGTGTGTGTGTGTTGTGTGTGTGTGTGTGTGTGTGTGTGTGTGTGTGTGTGTGTGTGTGT